TTTCTATTAAAAAAAAAAAAAAAAAAAAAAAAAAAACTTACAAAGAAACAGGAAGAAACTTCTCTTGAAGAACTAAATAATTCAACTTTGACCACTTCAACTTCTAGAAAAAGAAAAAGAGAAGAGAATAGATATGTTCATTTTATTTTTTTCTTCAATCTTTTTCTTTGTTTCTATCAATTTTTGAATAAAATCTTCATTGATAATTGAAACAAAATATAATATGGAATAATATAATAATAAATAGATTAAAGAAGATATAATTTTAAAAGAACAAAAAAATTGATCTAAGGTTAAATATTGGTCAATTATTAGCCGTAACGTATCAAATCAAATACGAATACATTTTTAACGAAGGGAAGAGTTCACGAACGGTCATAGGAAAGCGATAGTTCTGGCCACACACTTACACACCCACATACACACACACATATACTCACACTCTGTTATACTAGAAATGATCGATCGTATCACTGATAGCTAGATACGGGTATATTATCCATTGAGTAACGCAATATATATATGTTATCTACTTGTAACCACAAACACCTTTGTTATACTAGTGTGTATTAAGTATTACGTTGGTAAGCTTGGTCTAAAGATAAATTTTAATAAAAAATTATCACGAAAAAAAAACTGACAAAATACTGAAAAGAATTTGTTAAAAAAAGGCACACACAACCCATACACACACACACACATACACACACCCATACGTAAGAAAATATTACGAGAGTCAATGGCAAGATCAAAGTGATATTTTTAATCTTATTTTATAAAAAGGTTTTATGTGATCAAGCAAACGAGATAAAATTGATAATATTAAAAGTTGTTTATACAGTTAACTAACTACAGTTAACTTTATACAGTTAACTCAAGTTTGACTTATTAGATCGTCCTCAAATTCAATGAGAATAGAAAATAACAAGTATTTAACGTGTGCGTTGATGGATGATGTATAATACAAGTTGGACCATGTACTACTACAGGTTGTCTCAAAAATTAACTTTAACACTAAAGATATATCAGGCCTTTTTAATTCAAAATTTCTACTTCATGTAACATTTGATTTCTGTAAATATATAATTAAGCGTTTTGTTTATTTAAAAATGTCTATAAATCGATCATTTATCTATTAATATTATTATTATTGTTAAATATTCTTTGTTATTTTGTAAGAGTAAATAAGAACTGGAAGCCTTTAAAAAAGCATTTTTAAAATTTTATACATTATAAATAAAATTTAATATTTATTTAATTAAATAATATTTATTATTAATATATTTATTAATATTATATTTATAATATTATTCTATTTTATAATATTTATTTAATAATAACTAATTTAATATATCTATTTAATAAAAAATATATATATTAAAATAAATATTAAATAAAATTAATTATTAAAATTAAATTAAAAGTATAATTAAATTAAAAGTATAATTATATATAATTTAACCCTCTTAGAATGT